GACCTGACTGCATGCCCACCCATGGCAGCAGCGACTGGCCTGTGGGCCCGCCTCAGGGCCTCCCTGGAGGCGGCACACTGGGGAGCCAGTCTGGTTCTACTCTCTGGCTCCAAAGGGTCAGCTCCTTCTCTCAGAGTCCCCGAGAGCTAAATGGAGCCCCAGTGGCCCCATATCGCTGGGCTCATAATAGCCCCAAGAGTTGCAGAGCCCCACAAGGCCGTGACAGCAGCCCACCAGCTCTCCCAGTGCCCTCCTCCTTCTAGAGTCGCTTCTTCCCTGGATCCTATTTTATGATCACAAACTCCCAGGAGGCTGGCAGCAGGCGCCCAGGGAGATGCATCTGACTTTCTCATCCTCGGGTGCCCAGTTCAGGCCCCAGCAGCGTTCCAGAGTGAGGACGCACCAGCCCCCAGACCAATCCAGCCACAAGGGAGCCAAGACCTGGGACACTGTCGGCCTTGAGGGACGCTTGGGGAACTGGACTGGGCTGGAGACAGCCTCGCTCCCTCCTCAACCAGCACCTTCCCCTTGCTCAGCTAGCGTGTGCAGACGCCCCCTTGCTGGACACCTGTGGGCCTGATGGACAGACACTGGGATGTCATCCCCAAGGCTCTCGCATGAACACACAGTTGTGTGTGGACCAGAACGTTCTTTGTTGACTGCGGAGCACTGAGCGAAACAGAAGGATTGTCATCATTGCCTGAGCTCTGCAGTGGCCCTTGACAGTGGCTACCTGTGCCAACCTCTTCCCTGAGCCCCTGGCAAGGGCCTGTGTCCCTGCACCCCATCGCCAGTGCCTCACTGGGACAGAGATCATCCTCATCGGGAACTTGGAAAATGTGACCTGAATTAACCGCAGCTGGGCCTGGCAAACCTGGGGGTTCATCTCCGCAGCCCCAAAGCCTCTTATATAAAACATGATGCCTCTGCCGGCCAGGGTGGAGGAGGAACGGGGCATCAGGGTTGAATGGGGATGGCGCTTCGGCGTGGGAAGATGAAGATGCTCTGCAGGTGGACGGTGGTGATGGCTGCACAGATGCGACTGTGCTGAACGCTGCTGACTACGCCCGAGAGTGGTCACGGTGATGTGCTGTACTCTACGTATATTTGACCACAATAAAAGATGCAGATTCATTTTTACAAATCCACAGGTCAGGAAAATCAAGAACAAACAGACCACCGTTGTGTGAATGTTAGAAAGAGTGACGCGCCTTCCACCTGTGGTGTAGATGTCAATGCTGGAAAGCAGGAGGATGCCTGTCTGCACAGCCTTCGACGGGGAGAGAGGTCCCTGGGGCCACCTCAAGGTCATCTGCGGCTGTCACCTCCATACCTGTCGTTCAGGGATTTGGGGCACACAAATGCAAGGACCCCCTTCCCCGAGGCCGTGGTGAAGCCAGGTGGGAGCCACCGACGTGGGCAGCAGGCAGGGCCAAGGCAGGTGGGGGCTTCCCGGTGGGCCTCGCATCCTGGAGGTCAGGGGCAGGCCCTTGGAGAGAGGCCGCTGTGGGAGCCTGCACCAACCTGGCCAAACCCAGCCCTCAGGTCGCACAGCCTCCTTCCAGGGCCGCTTCCCTTCCTCCCTGCCCCTTCTCTCCAGGAAGGCCAGGGCCTGTGGGCCAAGCTTCAGTATCCTAAAGCCTTCAGACGCACACCAGGGCTGCACTGGGCTGTTTCCTGTTTTAAGAACACGCCCTCTTCCTGGGGACCCCGAGTGGTATCACTGGGAGGTGGGCCACTCTGGGGGTTTCTCTCGGTGGAGCAGCAGCAGGTTTCCCCCCCACGTCTCTCTGGGCATCAGCAGAGCAGCTCTGCTCTTTCCCACGGGTGCCCGCTGGAGGCTGGCCGTGTGCCGGCTGAGGGAGTGCTCCCTGGGCAGGCCAGGGATGGCAACAGGGGCCTGTAGTGGAAGAAGCCCTGGGTTCAAATCACCTTCCTTTCTCTGAGCCTCGGTTTTTCCCACATGTCTAACACAAGGTGAGGCTCATGGAACTTGGGACGTCAGGATCTCCAGTCTGGCACCCGGGGCCCAGCCTCCCTTTCCGTCTTTCCTGGACCCTGCACCCCACTGATGCTCAGTCCACCTGGAACAGGGAGGTCCAGGGCAAAGGGTGCTGAGGACATCCCTCCCACCGTGCTGGCCACCCTCCACCACACTGCATCCTCGAAGCTGCAGTTTGGGGGTTCAGCATCCTCTGCCCTGAGGGTGCCACTGAGCACTATGCTGGCATCTTCGTCACCGGGTTGCTGTGGGCATTCAGTGAAAAGACGCCAGCCCCTCCCAGCACATGGCCACTCCCCTGTCCTGGAGCAGGTGTTGGCTGGGAGTCTGGTGTGTGCTGGGGCTCCACCTGGCCACGCAAACCTTGGGGCCAGCATAGTGAGGCAGTGCCGGCCTGTCCAGAGGTGTGCGTGACCTCCCCTGTGGGTGACCCCACCTGAGAGCCAGCATCCCCTGAGACAGCCTGGCACAGCCTCGTGCCTGGATGTTGCAAGCCTGGTTGGCACTAATTTATTGCAAATTGTTTGGGAAAAGTCAGTTTAATTAAAATCTAAATGAGGCTCCCAGGAGGGCCCCTTCCCCCAGTCCCAGCTGACGTAATGAGGAGAGGCGGGCGTCTCACCAATTCCGGTGGCTTTCATGTTTTTGTCATCCCAAAGCCCTGAGATAATAAAATTTATTCATAGAATTCACACTTCAGTGGTGTGAATAAACGGCGGGCTGGGCACGCAGAGAGTCACGCGGAATCCCAAACCAGAGCCGGTGGCTGTTCAGGGGACCGTTTTCTTCCCATCATAAATCAGCGCGCGGTGGAATTGCCGATGGAGTTGCCAACGGGGCGAGGGCCACCCCGAGCAATCAACCGGTCCGCGGCTGTCCTGTGGTGACCTTTGCCAGTGATTTTTCATCCATCTTGGCTTGTTTTAGGGCAGACGCTGCTGGGCCTGAAGCATAAGGGGCCCTCCAAGCGCCCCAGCCCCTGCAGAGGCCGGAGGAAGCCATTACATGTGCTTCCTGAGCCAGGGACCTTGCTGTGTGCCCCCAGCAGGCCCTCTCCTCTCTGGAGCCTCCGTTTCCCCAGCTGCCGTAGCAAAGGCCGGAGCTGGCTGGTTCTGTGCGCCCATCTCACTCAGTCCGCCTCCTCTGGAAGACGGAGCCGCACACACCCAGCTGCTCAGGGAGGAACAGGTGGGCTGTGTTCCCACTAGGCCCACTTTTCCTCTGTCCGGAGCTGACGGGTGTGACACAGGGAGGGGCTGTGTGTAGCTCAGAAATGCACCTCTCCACGACCAGGCAGTAAGGGTGTAGCCCTGGGAGGGGAGGGAGGCATGGCCCCTGGGAGAAGGCAGGCACCTCAGCCCCCATGTCTGAGGGAGAGTGTCTAGGTGGAGGCCCCGTCAGGCAGGACACCACCCAGTGGCTCCGCTCAAGTCTGTCCTCAGGCTCGGCCTGAACCCGTCTGCATACAGGATGTAGGTCAATGGGCCTGCCCTGGAGCTGGATGACCCTTGCGTGGGCAGGTCCTAGAATAGCACTTGGGCCCAGCAGGCACTCACTAGCTGCCCCTATGTTGGGAGCTGCTTCTCTCCCCAGGCCAGGAGCTCACAGGCAGTGCCAGGTCTGATGCGCCTCCATGTTGGCCATCCCCTTGTGGTGTCTGCTGCAGGCGCCATCACCAGTAGAGGCAGACAGGTGGACGGATGGACAGGTAGGTGGGCAGATGGACAGACATGAGGGCAGGTGGGTGCCCAGATGGTGCAGGTGCCACAGGCTGAAGGAATCTCACCAAAGCCGAGGGCCTGGGCCTTCCCACTCCCTGCTCAAACGCAGGCAGGTGGAGAAACTGCATCCACTGAAGAGAAGGAAGCTTCGCTCCTAAAATCCCATCGCCAGGCTCCCGGCTGCCATCTGGCTCTGCAGACAGCACTGGAATAAGATGTCATTTCCGAGCACACTGGAGCGTTTCTCCTTCACCTCCTGTGTTTCCAGCTAAGAGGAAAATCCCAGGGCCGGCCAGCCCACGCGGGCTCCCCCGACCAGAGGCTCCCTCCCACCCACACTTTCCTGCCCTGGTCCCTGGGGGGCCTTCCCTGAGTACCTGCTCCACTGGTCACCCTCACCGTGGCTGCCGTTAAACACACTTTGGCGCTTTTATCGGGGCCCTCTCTGGTGTTATGATAAATAATTGAAACTAAACCACAAGTGTCAAAATAAATGAACCTCTTGCAAAGGGGATGGATCTCCCCAGCTTGATACCCTTCTCCTGAGACGCCATAAAACGGGGACATAAAGTGAGGACCAGGCCTGGCTCCCAGCCTGCCACGGACGCCTGTCCGGGAGGTGGCAGAGAGGGACCCCAGGGGCACAGGGGGCTTCTGCTCCCCCTTCCTTTTCTGGAAAATGGGATGCTCACATCTGCTGCATCTCAAAGACCCAGGCTTGCCCCTGCCCACCTGCCCGGCTCTGCATCTGTCCGTCAGTGGCAAGGCTGCCCCATCTGATCTCCCATCGAAGCCCGGGGCCTGCACTCACCACCTCCCGACCCTGCCAGGCTGCGAGGGGGTGGCCCGGCACTTTGGTGCAGCCCCCACGCCCTGGCCGTGCTGCCCAGTAATGCCGTTGTGTTTGTCCAGGCTGATGGCCCAGCAAGTAGCTGCTTCCAAATGTGATTCATTTCGACTTCCCAGCAAAACTGGTGAAGAGGGAGACAGCTCAGAGGCCGTGTGTGCCCCACACAGGGTGTGCCCACATAGGACCCTTCTCTCCCTCTGCTTAGACCACTGCAGGCAGAAGGGCTCAGGCCCGGCTCCACCAGGCGCACACGGAGGACACACCTGGGCCCCTGGTGGCTGCGCCAGCAAGTGACAGGCCACGCAGCCAGGGCGCATTTCATTACGCATTGATTTACATTTACAGCCGGGTCCAGGTGCTCCCCTCCCACTTAAGCACACCAGCAGATTTTTTATGCAAGATTGAACAACTTAACGGCCTGAACAAGTCGGATGACAAGACTTTAATTGCTATTTTTCTCCCTCTATCCCTCAGGAGAGCAATATGCAGACATTTAGAGAAGGATTTCATAAAACAGAAAGAAAGCAATTCGCAAAGTTCCATGTCAATTTGCTTTCCAAGCTCCTCACCAGGAGCCAGCAGCGCCTCTGGACAGCGGAGTCGTGCATCCTTGTTCAGCCACCCTCAGGGTGGGTTTCCAGTGCCGTCACTGGGGGGACAGAGACAGGAGGCCCACCTGGCCCACGGGACCTCCAGGAGCCTGACAGGCGGCCCAGAGAGGGGTCTCTGGGGTGATCAATGTCAGATTCCTGTCTTGGGGATCAAAAGGGCTGTCTCCAACAAGCTGGGGCAGTTCCCCTCACATGGCCCTGACTTCTGTTTCCAGCTCTATTTCCAACTACACCTATACTCATTCATTCATTCACACCCTCACTCATTCATTCACGCATGCATCCAGCATCCTCTGAGTGACCGTGGTGTGCTAAGCCTGTGCTGGACACACGCCTGGCTGGGGAGTGAACCAACAGAGGAATCGATGTGCTCTAAAGGGCCCCTGCTGGGGCTCATCTTTGGGTGGGGTCAGGGGCAGGGGGACCACGAGCTAGGCTGACGCTGGGTGGGGTCCCCACGAGCCGCCAGAACATCACCGTGGGCGGCAGGGACTCATCAGTGCCTGTTAGCCGGGGAGCGTGTGATCAATACCGTCGATACTTGACCGCGGGGAGGACGATCCGGTGCCTGTCTGCGAAAGCACGTTTTGTCTGGAAAATGCATAAATTCTCGTGTGGGGGATGGGTAGGGGAGGGAGAATAACAATGATCATAATTTGTTAGCCAAGGATTCCCACCTCGCCCTCGGTGCGAGGCGTGATAAACAGCTCCTTAAGAACTCAGGAAATATATTCAGGAGACCAAATGGAAATCAATCTTCTCTTTTCTCTAACCTCCATCTCCCGGTAATTCCGAGGAACCAACTCCACCGAGTCCGTTGTTCATTCACAACGTGTTCAAAGGACTCTTTAAGGTTAGAATTTTCCTTTTAAGAAATTGCTCAGGGCGGCGAGTTTCCTGGCAGAGCCACCCAGCTGATACCTCTCATTAGCGGCCTCCTGTGCCTGGGCTTGAGGCCCTCCCAGCTGAGAGCTGGGATGACGCTGACCTTTGTCCTAAATGGGAGAGGACAGGACGAAGGAGGGGAGTGGCCGGAGAGCGAGGGTGAGGACCAGCTCAGGGAGGGGGCTGTGAGGAAGCGTTGCTGCAGGAAATCAGGCCGAGGACCATCTCAGGGGCTGGGCTGGCTCCCCAGGGTCACAAGAAAGCCTTGCTAACTTGGTTTTCCCAGCTGTGCACAGGGCGCTGATCTCTGGGATTGACGTGATTGCACAAATGGGGACACTGACAGGAAAAAGCCGGGAACAGAATGACTTACAACGGGGCCTTCTGTCCCCAAGTCCAGCAGTCTTAGAGTCCCTAGCACAGCCACCCGCCCCCTCTGCCTACCTGCCAGGCCTGGGCTGGGCTGACTCCATTCATGTGAGCACGTGCACATTTACTTTGCCAGTGCACCCCGCACCTGCCATGTGCCTAGCCTGGAGCTGGCCCTGGAGGTGTCAGCTAAGAACATGAGCGCCCACTTGTCTAAAAGGAATTGGGAGAAAGCAGGCTCAGACTTCAGGGGACTCTCAGTCAGCTCACACATGCACACACACGTGCACATGCACAAACGTGCACACATGCACATTTGTGCATACAGACACAGACATGTGGGCGCACGCACTCACACACAGAAGTGTGCACATTTGCATGTACACAGCTTACTCAGATGCACACACAGGCATAGGTATGCTCCCCTCACATATGTGCACATTCACACACACATGCAGACACCCACACACTGGGGCAGAATGAGGCGGGCCAGATTAAAGACCGTAACAAAGGCGGTGAGTGAAGGTGGCCACGTCCAGGGAAGAGCTCCAGAGGTGCACTCTGGGGCCAAGGCTTCACCGGGGCTCCTTGCAGGCCTGGACCCTGCCTGGGTAGATGCCTGGAGAGGGCCCTGCCTAGCGCTTGGGGCGGTATTGAGGGTGGTGCTTGCAGGAAGTCCAGGCTGGAGGGGTGGTTGGAGCAGCTGGTCCCAGCCGAAGCTGAAGCTGGGCACGCAGCCAGGGAGCACCCCCAGCCCCAGCCTCACTCCTCCCTGCGATCCCTTGGAAACGCTCTGACATCCGGAATGAGAGGGGAGTGCGAGGGTCTGCAGGGGGAGGGCGGGCTGCAGATGAAAGGCCTTTGAGGATGGGGCGGGCAGTGGGGAAGGCTCTCACGCTCAGCAAAGGAAATATTGAAATTAAATCATTTCCCAAGGTTGGGGGAACTTTCCGTCCTAATTAAATAGCCAAGGCTCTCACGGCTGCCGACAGAGAGACACGCGGGGAGGGGAGCAGATGCTGCCCTTGGAAGGGGGGATTAGCGGGCTGCTCCCCTTTGATGCCTGCCCCAGGCTCCCGGCAGTGGCGGGAGGCAGTCATCACGCTCTAATTAGGGCCGCACCTCCTGTCCTTAGGCACACATCCATATTCACGTGCTGGGGCGGGGAGGCCTTTTCAGGCACCAAACAGCCCCAGCCTGAGGCCCAGTGCAGGAGGGGGCTGGGGAGGAGAGAGGAGCTCCCCCACGTGCCCCTCCCACTGCTGGGCCACCAGCTCCCCGCTGCACTGTCTCTGTCCTCCCTCACACCCTCTCTGCTGAGGGAAGGCTCTGCTCCAGGGGCGCTGAGCCAGGAGGGAGGCTGCGGAGCCAAGTCCGGTTCAGAGATCTGAAGCTGTGCGCCCCCATCCAACACTGATGGGGTCTATGCCTGGGCTGGGCACCACTGGTGGGAGGGGGATTCCTACACCCCTCATTCCCCTGCCATCCCTGGCTCCTCGGCCACCTCAGGCTATGGCGAGCCATCCCATTCCACCTCCTCCAACAAGCAGGGCCCTCGAGACAGTCAGACCCAGACTGCAGAAGTCAGGGGAAGCAGAAAGGAGTTTCCAGACCCAGAGTGAGCACGTAGGGGAGGGGAGGTGGTTATATGAGTTTCTAAAAGGTCTCCCGTCACAGCGGGTCATGGCTACCAAAAGAAGCAGAGGCTCAGGGAGCAGGGAAGCCCCTCTTTCGGGCCACAGATGCCAGAGCCCTGACCCCAGACACAGGGCAGTCCCCTGGATCCCACGATTTGCAAACCCATCCTAAGAGTAGGACCACAGCTGGGACTCAGGGAGGTGGCAGAGAGCAAGTCTTAGTACCACGGAGGAGACAGAGGCTCGGACTCAGAACCATGGCTGCCCAGCACCTGCCATGCTCAGCTCCTTCCTCTGCATGGGCTCCAAGAGCCAGGGAACCCTAGAGCTGCAAACAGGCCATTTCCGGGCTCCCAGCGCCGGAGCTGCCTCAGGGCCCGCACAGCCCCTCCTCCATTCCCTATAATTTATACACAGACGCCCAGCGGGGAGGACATTGGCTTAAGGCATCACAGTTGGGTGATAAGGCTGGCACTGATGCCCGGACCCAGCCCCACACTGGCAGCCCAAACCCCAGAGCCCCTTGCCCCACACCCCACAGCCAGCCTCTGGCATGACCAGCCTGCCTCCAGTTTCTCTACCAACCTGCCATGGACATGCATGTTCCAAGGTTCGCCTGGGGCCAGGCCTCTTGCTTTTCCCTCCACCTTGAAGACCTATGAGAAGCACATGGGTTCCGAACTGGGCATTGGAAAGAGCCCTGGGGCACCGGCCCTGTGATGCTGGAGATAAGCCAGGGGAGAGTCAGTGCAGATTCTTCCCATTCTTAAACCCGCTGGGTACTTTTCACTCAACCACCATGGTCTCTCCATCCTGGGAACCAAAGTGCCAGGTTTCCATCTGGCAGCACGTAATCATTTCCCATACATTGGGAGAAACTGCCTCAACACTGCTTGTGGTGCATATTCAATGGTGAAGAATTCTTTTGGTTTACATTGATTGATTGATTGATTGATTTTGAGGCAGTCTTGATCTGTTGCCCAGGCTGGAGTACAGTGGTGGGATCTCAGCTCCTGCATCCTCCACCTCGTGGGCTCAATCAATCCTCCTACCTCAACCTCCCAAGAAACTGGGACTACAGGCATGTGCCACCAAGCCCAGGTAATTTTCGTAGAGATGGGGTTTTGCCATGTTGGTCAGGCTTGTCAAAAACTCCTGAGCTGTGTATTTGTATCTGAGCATTTCTTCCTTTCACCTTCACTCTTTAAGAACAGCTTTTGCTATTATAGGGTTCCCCCCGCACAGCACAGTTTTGTGTATTAAAACTATTTCCCACTGTCTTCTGACCGCCTGTCCCTCTCACGAGAAGTCAGCATCCCCTGGAACCCCATCCCCACTGTCACTGTGTCATTTTTCATGGCTGTTCTCAGCCTTCTTTCTTTGTCTGTGGTTTACATCTGTTTCAGTCTAATGGCCTTTGGCATGGTTTCTGCTGTATTTATATTGACTTGGGTTTTCCACACTTTAAAAATCTGTAAATTGGTGTCTTTCAACAAATTCAGGTAATTTTTAGCCATGATTTCTAAAATTTAAAAAGAAGTGCCTATTTACTCCTGTCTCCCCTTCTAGCACTTCAAGATCACATATGCCAGGCTTCCGTAATTATTCCATAAGCCCCTAAAACACTTTTAAAATTTTTTTCTTTTTTCTCTCTCTTCTTCAAATTGGATCATTTCTGTTGATTTCTCTTCAAGTTCACTAACTTCTTTTCTTTGTCATTTTCATGCTACTGCTGAGCCCAGTGAAGTTCCTATTTCAGATTTACGTTTTCAGTTCTAGAATTTTCACCTGGCTGTTTCTTACAGCTTCTATTTTTCTACAGCAATGCGCAATCTATTCAGTGATTGTCAGCATACTTTCTTTTCTGTCATCGGGCATAGTAGAAATAGCAGCTTCAAAATGCTTGTCTGCTTAGCTCGACATCTTGGTCATTTTGGAATTAGTCTCCACGGATGGCCTTTGAGTTTGAGAATGGATCCTATTTTCTTCTTTCCTCATATGCTGAGTAATTTTGAATTGGATATTGGACTTTGTAAACAGGTGTTATAATTCCTCTGCATTGAAGAGTATCAATTTTCACTGTTTTAACAGGTAATTAACTGGTTTGATTCAAACTGAAAAGTCCTCCCTTTGAATGGTAGCTCAAATCTGCCCTGAGTCCTTAGCCTTGGTGGGGCTGCGTGGGCTCTGCCCTGGCCGTGGGTTGTAGCTTACGCACAGGGTTTGGTGTCTGCCTCCTTTTGGCTTTTTCCTTTCTGCAAGTGATTCTTTTTACCTTTCTGTGACTGAGACTGCCTTAAGCTTTGTTCTCTGTCTTCTGCATATTTCCTACTGGACTGGACTGTGACCTGCATAGTGTAGACACAGGGCCGCCCTTGGCTAGAAGCTGTTAAAATGGGGACCTTACTCAATTCCAATCCCTTCTTCTAAGAGCTGACTCCCTTCCAGAATCTGCCTGCTTTCTCCAAGGTCTTCCCCAGTGCCGTCAGCCATTTTCACGTCTCGCGTCCAGTGTTGACGGCTGCTATCTTTGGAAGGGTCACTCTACAGGGAGGCACCTGCTGCTGCCAGGATCAGAACTTCGAGACTAGTTTTTCATCATCTGTGTTAGGGATGGGCCAGTGTAGCCTTTACTCTGGGGCTGGTTTACCTTCCTGCTAAGTCATGACCCTCTGAATTCTCAACTGAATGTCTCAAGTGTTGCTATGAGCTGGACTGTGTCCCCCAAGTTCATATGTTGAAGCCCTAACCCCCAATGTGACTGTTCTTAGAGAGAGGGCCTCTAGGTTTAAATGAAGTCCCAAGGGTGGGGCCCTAATCTGATAGGACTATGGCCTTATTAGAAGGGGAAGAGATCTTTCTCCCCATCATGTCCCTGCTGTGTGAGGACACAGTGAGAAGGTGGCCAGTTTCGAGCCAGGAAGACGGCCCTCACCAGAGTCCAACCCAGCTGGCACCTTGATCTTGGATTTCCCATCCTCCAGAACAGAGAGAAAACACATTTTTTATTGTGTAAGTCACCCAGTCTGGTATTTTGTTATGGTAGCCTAAGCAATGTAGTACAGATGTTTTAAAGGGTTTCTCTCTCTAGCTGGTCAGAACTTAAATGTCTCCCAGCTCCGTCCATTCCGAAAATGCTTAGCTTTTCATTCTCCCTGTCTGTTGCTTGGCCTTGCAGAGTTTTACCCCATGCAACCACAGGTTAGCATTAGCAACAGGCTCGAGGGAGCCCTGTGCAGCTGCTCCAGCCATTCCATCACACAGCCCTGTTCCTTGGTACTCTTCCCCACAAATTCTGGCCACTTTCCTGAACCCGAGTTTGTATCTTCTCAACTCAGCAAGCCTACTGCACTCCACTGGGGGCCTCTGGTCCTGTGGTGCATTCTGGGCAGAGCCCCTGAGCAGGAAATGGGACACTCATAGGGCTGGCCTCATTAGTCTCCGTCTTCTCAGGGACCTCAGTCTGCATTGCCTGCTGTCCGATATCCAAAAACTTCGCTCTGTATCTTTTCTTCAGTTCTGCAGTTGTTTGTGACATGAGGGAAAGTCTGTGCTAGTTCCCATGTCCAAGTCAAAACAGCTACCCTCGGTCCCTGACAGAACTTCAGATTAACGTGTCAGGCACACACACACAACAGCTACCCTCGGTCCCCAACAGAACTTCAGATTAACGTGTCAGGCACACACACACAACAGCTACCCTCGGTCCCCAACAGAACTTCAGATTAACGTGTCAGGCACACACACACAACAGCTACCCTCGGTCCCCAACAGAACTTCAGATTAACGTGTCAGGCACACACACACAACAGCTACCCTCGGTCCCCAACAGAACTTCAGATTAACGTGTCAGGCACACACACACAACAGCTACCCTCGGTCCCCAACAGAACTTCAGATTAACGTGTCAGGCACACACACACAACAGCTACCCTCGGTCCCCAACAGAACTTCAGATTAACGTGTCAGGCACACACACAAAACAGCTACCCTCGGTCCCCAACAGAACTTCAGATTAAAGTATCAGGCGCACACACACAAATACACAGACCAGAGGGATGAAGACCAGAGGGATTTCACAAAAGAGTGAAATGTCACATTCCTCACCCTAAAGCTGCCTGTACCCCAACCTCAGAGGCATCCACTGCTTTAACTTCCTACACCATAGACCAGTTTTCTCTCACTTCTGACTTTCGTCAGATGGAATCACACAGTAGGGGTTTCCCCAGGTCTGGTTTCTTTCACTCCACGTTGAACTGCGAGCATCAGTCCTCCTGTTCGTACAGCAAGGGTTTGTTCGCCTTCAAAAGCCTGAAACACTTACCTTACCACTGCTGGGTTTCAACCCAGCCCTAAGTGCACAGCAAATCCCACCACCGCCAGGAAGCCTTGCTGGCCTTCACCAGTCAGTCAGCAGTGACCCTCCCTTCCTCTCTTTCTGCATGGCCCTCTTTCCTCCCCTGGAACCTCACTGCTCTGGGTCTCGGGCACCCACGTTGTTGCTGGTGATGATGTCATGAGAGGCAGTTGCTAGGCAACAGACCTCCACAGAGTCAGGGGCGCCTGCTCTTGGATTTGAAGTGCCCCTGCCAATTTCTTAAAATATCAGAACTCAGAGCACATTGAGTCCCAGAGAAGAGTGGAAAATCCAGCGTGCTTCACAAGCACTGGTAAGTCCCCGCACCCTCCCCCTCTGACTACACAGGTTTTCCAAGAGGTGATCATGTGAGACTAACATCATTGTCTTTCCTTGTCATGGTCCTTAGACTGGCAGACAAGGGACGTGTTATTGTGATTTCAGCAAGGTCTGCTGTGTTATCCTTGAGGCTGAAATGGGAAATCCATCCCAGATGATCTGTTAGGTGAATTTAGTCTGTTATATGCAATTATAGACAAAGGGAGTTAGCTAATGGCCTGGTGTCACCCTGGAGGGGGGTCTCCAGCATCCCCCAGGACTCTGACATCAGTCCTGTATTGTCTGATATTTTGATCAATGATTTATATGAGGAAATAAAAGCCCTGCCTGTCAAGTTGCTGCTGAAACAACAAAGAACAGAAAGTACATCACAAGTCAGGATCATAATTCAGAATCATCCCAGTGCTGAGAGGATTTAAAATTCTAAACGTTTTTAAACAGGACACAAACAGCGCTATCCATAAAGAAAAAATTGATCAATTAATTGGACCACATTAAAAGTAAGAACTTCTGTTCATCAGAGAGATTGTTAAGAGAAGGAGAAGACAACTAAGAGATGTCATTTGTGATACCTGTCTCTGACAAAAATCTCATCTCTAGATTTTAAAAAGCCCAACACATCAATCTTTTAAAAACTGGAGCAAGACAAATGGATAGAAAAATAGGCAAAATATTTGGACTGACATCTCGCAAGGTAAGAAATCCAAATGCCCACTAAATGTATGAAAAATAAAATGTTAAGTTTCCTTAGTTAGCAGGAAGATGTCAGCTATAACCACGATGGGACACCCCCTCTAAAATGAACAGCCAAAAGGAAAGAGAGAAAATGTCCCACACGAGGAGGACGTGACATGTGTGATTGGGGGACGTGCCTTGTGGAACAGCTTGGCAGCATTTGTTACCACTGAACCTGCGTATGTACGGTAGCCCTGCTTCTCCCCGCTTAGATACGGACCCAATGGAAGCACATATGCATTTTTGCCAAAAGACACACATAAAAGAGGTTTATAACTGCTTCCAGTTCCAGAAACCAGAAATAACCAAAGTGTCCACGGATGGGCGGCTGTATACAAAGCCAGTGTGCAGTCACAAATGTGATGCAGCGAGCGACGAACGTGAACACACCTTTGCTGTATGAACAGGATGACTGATGCTCACAGCTTAACGTGGGGTGGAAGAAGCCAGACCCGGGGAAGCCCCCGCCGTATGTTCCGTCTGACGGAGTAAAAAGCGAGAGAAAACTGGTCTGCAGCGTAGGAAGTTAAAACACTGGATGCCTCTGTGGTTGGGGTACGGGG